TCCAGGTCCACCACTGATCGACAGTGAACCCGGGGTTTACAGCGAACACAATTTGCGTGAGGAAAGCGGAAAAGTAGATTTTATCCTATCGAACCACATCCAACCTTCATCTACGAACTCACTTAGGATTCTAACTGAAAGCCAAAAGGTGTACAGAAGACCTAGGAACTCAATGCTAAACCTACAAAAAATGTGCATTGCGCTAACCCAAACATAACATCGGGTCTCTAATGCCACACTCCTTAACTCCTCTCCTTGGATCTATTCAAACTACGTTGAAATCAACATTTAAGAGGGAATAACAAAATGATTCTCTAGGGGCAAAAACAATTATGGTTCACCCAACTTTATGAGATAAAGCACCAGAATGGAACCGTAATCATAAAATCACTAACAACGGGTAGAATTATCAAATATTCACTGCCTTTAACGATAATTAGACACCATATAAATGCGGAGAATCTCCATCAATTTTAAAACGAACAGTGATTTACATACAGAAGACGTTATGCTGAATGACAAGTGGATTTCATCACAATCGAACAGTTATGCTCACTGGATAGAAAGAAAGGTACTTCCTTCGTATTACTTCTATGAGATAACAAATCACATCCGAACTGACAAAGTGGAAGTTCACAACATACGATGACGACAACCACTTCCTATAAGAATGAAAACAAAATAGGTGATAACAAAATATAATGCTAACAAAACCTGACTGACGTCTTCGAAAGAGGACAGCGCAAAGAATCTAGCGACAAAGACAACATCAAAATGCTTGTGAACATGAATCGACGACAAAAAATCGAAGAAAGAAAACGAGAAGCACTGGTAAATCAGACCCACAAACGGTAACGGAGCAGCTGGATGTGAAAAATCTGTCAAAAAAACCACAAATATAAATTCTTGCTGAAATCGCTAACATATATTATTGTACATGGTGATATGTGACGATATGTTGTCCGAGCTTATGCTGCGGGCAGTTCAAATTAATTTCCAAGGCTCAGATTTCGGTGCACGTGGTGCACTACTGCGCATTGTTCTTCACCTCGTATGCTATTCAACAGTTCATGACATTCAAAACCAATTCAAGCTAGTAGTAAAAACCTAGTAAAAGAGAAGAATTCATTAATTAACCGCACGTAATTAACAATGTCCGTTGTCAGCGTGAAGAAGTCGAGCAGTATCAGACGATTGCCGAGAGTGTGTGGGTGATCTGCAAGAGTGAACATAGCCAGAAAAAAATGCTAGCGGAAATCAATAAGCGAAAAAAAGAAAAATTAAGCGGAAAGTCAGAAACAGCTACGAGCTGCGACCTGCGATGTTTTTCACAGACACTACGAATTACGGACCGCCAACACTCAAATTCACGTATATGGGACATTAACTTATACATATGGAATAAGAGAAGCCGAAAGCGAGGATAGCGAGCTATTCAAAAGAATCGTTGAATTGATCGATTGAGAAAAACAACACCCCTGTTTGATTTCTCATACAGTTCTACGGAAAACATTAAGAACAGGAAAACCCAGCCCAATGCGGGCTCCAAGATATTCAAAACCACCAACCTTCGTAGATACTTGGTCGCAGCAGGTGATGCTGGCAACGCAGAATTGAACATGAGCGCTAATAAGACCAACAGGGCTCCGGCCAGAAACGGTGGGCCCGGTACTAGCTGCCATGTGAATGCCGGCCGTTCTGCGACCTGCAACAATGAACATTACCTCCCAAACCAATTTTGATCACTGGAAGCCCAGAACACCCCTCCCCAAAGCGTATCATTCCTCGTTGGTGTTAAAATTTTCTCCTGCGGCTGAGCTGGCCGTATCCGCACAAGGGGAAATTGGACTGCATGAGCTCCTCGTGTCGCTCTGCATCCACATCAGGTCCAGCGGTCGAAACAGATAGAAGAGTGTAATCCAAACAATGCCCTGGTTGCCAAAGCCTGGGGAAATAAATGAAAACGGAAAGGTATAATACCTTATCCTTCGAAGTAAAACTATTTCGCCTACCTTGGCACAGTCCCCTAATGCCTGTCACCACACCTTGCACAGTTCCTTGTTTATCCTTATCCGATAATATACTAACGAAAGCACTAATTGATGGATAAGTAATACTACTCATTGCTGCCAGTATACCTGCTGCCCACATCATCCAGTATCTGAATAGAAGATTTGCAAGACCAAATAGATTACTACTTGCATGCATCCGAACAAAACTGATATTAGGCTATTATTGTTGCCGAGTTGTATTAGCGGAAGGGGGATCGATAGACAGAAATCTTCGACTACGCGACGTGACTTCGCGCAACTATCGCAGCACGTAATGAACTTTCCACGTGAATACTGAGCAAATCCAATTGACTGTAAATAACAATGACGATGAAAACCAAAACTCACTGCGTTCCAAGCCCGTACCAAGTGAGCTGCACAAGTTGAAAAACGAGACCTAATGTTATCACGTGTTTCATGCCAAAATAGGTAGTTAGAAGTTGCAGGACTCCCTGTCTGAGCCACCACCGACAGAATTCCAACCAGACCAATGAATGCTGCCACGGCTTCTGGCGTGAATCCAACAACCTAAACCAATTATCTGACTTCAATAAGTGTGGATAATGAGCATAACAGCGCGGTTGCAAATGCAAAATCTCGACAAAAAAACCGAACACATGATAAAAAAAACCGCTGCTATATTCACAAGGAGAGAAAAAGGCTACGCTTGGACGATAGCGGCCGTAATACCAATAAGCAATATAAAATAGTCATAATATTTCCCAATCGTAAGGTCCGAGAGCACATTTGAAATTGCTTGTGATAAAAAATGCAAACTTGGAAATCCGCACCTAAGTTTTTAGCTGCTGTCAGAGTCCGCGCGATCGCTTTGTGCGCTAGTTTCATGTTCAATGTCTATTAGTTCATTGAAATGCTCTTGAATCGTTCCTATTTTTTTCAGGAATCAAACCAAACCAATCACAAAAATTGCAAGTGCCCCATTTGAACAATTGAAACACTGGATATGAAACAAGTGGAATCATGAGCAGTCTCCATTAAACCATAACCATCAAGCAGAAGTGACGGCGGGATTGGAGAACACCTTGCAGTATGGATGGGGCACTTGTAATTTCCGTGACCCGTCGCGCAAATCGCGAAAATCGCGCAAATCGCGAAAATCGCGCAAATCGCGAAAATCGCGAAAATCGCGAAAATCGCGAAAATCGCGAAAATCGCGCAAAAGGATCGCGGGACTCTGACAATCAGCCTTACGGAGTCCAAAACGCTCACGCAGTTCAATGAGAGACGAAGAAACAAGAAAATTGGACCCGATTGCCGTGTAAAATACGAGAGAAAAACGATGAGAGCCAATTGGAGCACCTGAACATTCATCACATAAACATATGTGATATGAAAAACTTCAACAAAGAACAGTTGCCAACCAGACTATCTTCCCAGACGAGACGTAGTGTACCGAAGGGATCTGCGCTTTCCCAGCTGATGACGTCGCTTGCTGAACGCCTCACCGGCAGGGATTCTGTGGGACACGGAACACGATGAAAACCACGTCTATTATAGCGATGACAGTTGCCTGGAACAGAAACACCGCGATACATTCTAGAATCAGCATTTCGGCTCACAAGCTTACCGTTCCATCAAGAACACTTAAAATCCCATCATCTTATGAGCCCTAAAACTGCTCGCTCGCCCTTCTTCCCCATTCTACCACGAGAATGTTCCGTTCAAAAGAAATATTTTCCCCGTCCGACCGAATCACACCCACCTTCAGGTGTACAGATGATTTTAGCATTTCAGTTAAACGTGGATGCTCCGATGCAAATTCAAAGCATCACAAACCCGATAAACTGCTCTGCGGTTGCATGAAAAATACACAAAAAAACAATTGGCGAATTTTAGTATGAGAGCCAATGCGCCGCGAGATTTTCTCAAATACCTTCCAATGGGACAAACAAGGAATGCGTTGAGGTCTCTACAAACCATATCAAAACAAGGATCGGAAAGGACGGCATTCAAAATAGGACATACCAATAAAACAACTGCGCCATCGCCGTAGGAATCCGATATCCAAGCGCCGAGAGCAGGTGACGTCACCAGTGATGCGGCAAATGTAGCAGAAACTAGTCCATACGCTGCAGACCGGTCCTGAATAAAATTCTGACTTTAGAGAGTTAGTTATGAATAATGGAACGCTGTGGCGCAATCTGTATCAGCGAATCAAAAGGCAATAATAGTGAATACAATCCTTCTATCAAAGTAAACAACAATATTCAAAGCTTGACTCAAAAATGCCATTAATTTCAAAATAAAAACAGACAAGTCAGTGACATTACCTGCTTCTCAGTAATATCAGCAACATAAGCAAGAATGACACTGAATGTAACGGAGAACAAGCCACTTATGCTGAATAACGCGAAGATTAATCACTAAAAAGATTTCGCCCATAAGTTATTGAGGGAGCACTGAGAAGGTTTCATGATAAGGACCACCTATTCTTGTGGTTAAGTCAATAAAAGAAACAAAAAAAAGCTAGAAATAAAGAAAGGAGAAAACTTCATCATGACTCACCAGGGACTGATTTTCAAACACGGTATGGGCATACACGTACAAAATACCGTCAGGATCAAGAACAGCTTCCTGCCGTACACATCAGACAATGCTCCAACTAAAGGAGCACTGAGGAACGATAAAATTCCCTGAAACGATTCCAAAATGGAGAAGGAGAACCTTGGAGCTGCCATTTTGTACAAACGTTATTTTGCAAAAAAGGAAAAACTTGACAAAAAAAGCATAAGTTGCAGGCTGACCTTTATTCCAAGCACCATTCCATTCATTAGGAATTTATTGTTCGGGAAAGTCTCTGCCAAAACCTGAATCTTTCAACGTTTCGAAATGGAAACGTCAAAATGAAATGGACGTGGAGCGAAGGAAAATGAACTCACGTTGATTACTGGTACAGTTAGCAGCCCCCATGCAAAATATTCGAGAAAAATAACGATAAGCGCGTGGGAAATCGACGCTTCATTATCGAGGCTATGTCCATGATCATCTCTGTCCTTGGTCTTTTTACGACCAAATATGAGCGACATTAATGATCGACTTTTTCGTAGCATTGTTCTCTGAAATCAATTCATTAAATACAAAACCATCTTTGCTCCTCACACTAACGAAAAAAAACAGAAAACAGCATTTCGGATTTTGTGACACCAAACTTTTGAATTCAAAAAATCAAAAAAAAAAACGATTTCTGATTAATTTCAAGGTATTTTATTTAATTTTACAGCTTCAGACAGAAACAAGAACAAGTTATGATATTTTATTGAAGACTACTACATATTCCTACACCTCGTCCCCCTCATATCTACTTATTATAGTCCCTTCACTTTATAAGTCCTAAATTAATTCCCAAATGAACAAACGTGAGTCTCAAGCCGTACATTCTCTTGGCCCTACTCAATCCAACCACTTCTATCTCTATCGCGATCGCACGGAGGTGAGCCGTTTCGCTTGACTTATTAACCTCTTTATACGTACGAAACCTGCTGGCTTTTCGGACCCGAAAAACAAGTACACATTGGCGTTGAAATCATTGATAGACTGTAGGTTAGCCATAAAAGTAAAGGTAAAAATTTGAGGGGACACATACAACACTCCTCAGCGACCCGCAATGAGCAAACAGATGATCGCGATCGAACAGCTACTTTTCAGCGCACAAGCAAAATGCACCCCCGCTTTTCATAAGGGCAGATGTTAATGTATCACTCATTCTGGAATGATCTGAACCATAGCT